TGGACAGAGTACAGAATGCAGGCTACTCGGTGAGCCGGCCCGAGGGCAACACTGGGAAGTACAAGTCCATCCCCCATCACCATCGAGGAGAAGTCCAGTTTCTTGGGAGGTCGGTGCAATCTATTGATTCCTCTTCAAATATCCTCCATATTTGTATACAAATACAAATATTCTTTGTATTTCCTAGTGATTACTTGTTGGCAAGGTCAGCTGTTTAAACCACCGGCCCTTCTGAGGGAGAAAGATGAGGCTTCCTGCTTACAGTCTCAGACCCTTTCCTAAAGGGTCCCTAGGAGTCAGAACTGACTCTTGAGGGCAGAGTAGAGCCCCTGGGTGGCCCCACGCCCTCTCAAGCCTAGGGCCACCCTTTACGATTGAACTTGGAGGCAGGCTTGGGGGAGAAATCAAACTCTCTCAAGGAAAGCGCCCTTTCCACTCCTGCCTGAAGCTGTGCCCAGGTCTCCCCTGCAGGCTCCAGGGAGCTGCATGAAAATCCACTCAGGTCACAGTCTCCGAGCGACCTTGTCACAGCTGTGGGGACAGCTGAGCTGGCACCCGTCCTGCGTCCTCCACTTCACGGAGGGCGTCCGAGCTGCTATTTCTGCACCAGCAGTTGCTCTGCCCCCTGCGAATCAGCACAGACCGGTCCTGCCTGGTGCCCGGGATGGGGGGTGGGGGTGGGGGGGCAGCTCCCACTTGCCCTTCCGTGTTGGCTGTAGTTGCCCTCACTTGGAAACCATTGAGCCCACTCCTCCACAGTCCATTTCTGCATCACAAACCACCTTCACGTGCCAAGTCAGCTTTTGAGTCCTGAGAAGACTCGGCCTTTTCTTGTACCCACTTCCTGTCCTTGCGTCCATGCCAACTCCTGGCCACCCTGCAGGACGGGGGGACTGTCCCTGGGTGTGTCCGAGAGTGTAGCTCCTTGCGGGAGTAGGAAGTCGCCTCTTTCTCCTGTGTTTAGACCAGCATGCGGCTCACAAGAACCACACACACCTGTGCTGGCTCATCTACAGACCCGTGTAAAGAGAGTTCAGAACGGATGTCCTCAGTAACAAGGGGCCTGCCTGGAATCCCACTGGGCAGGTGGCAGGAGTGACCCTTTTTGTCTGTGTACATGGGGTCGAGAGCAGTTTGCTCTAGACCAGAGGTCCTCAAACGCGGCCCGCCAAGGACATTTATCTAGCCCGTTGGGTGTTTTTGCCCCATTTTTTTAACTTCAAAATAAGATATGTGCAGTGTGCATAGGAATTTGTTCATAGTTTTTTTTTAAACTATAGTCCGGCCCTCCAACGGGTCTGAGGGACAGTGAACTGGCCCCCTGTTTAAAAAGTTTGCGGACCCCTGCTCTAGACGATGGGTCATCGCTTGACCACTGGGTCTGTTGTCAGTGTTGAGGGCTACGTCTCAGCGGGAGCCTTGGTGGCGTGGTAGGCTGGGCTGGAAACCACAAGGTCAGCAGTTTGAACTGTCCAGCTACTCCCAGGGAGAAGGGTGAGGCCGCCCAGCCCTGTCAGGAGTTAGACTCTGAAACCCACAGGGCCAGTTCTACCCTGTCCTACAGGGTCACTGTGACTCAGTTGCTCCAGGCTTGGTTTGGCCACGTCCTTGCTCTGTGCTCGTGGGCCCTGGTTTGCCCATTAAATGAAGTCCTTCTGTCATAGTTGGCGGGGGAAGGAAACATGCTTAGACACGTTTACCTGGAGCCGAACTCCCCCCTGTGTCTCCCCACATGCTGCGAAGGGGGCCCTTGGGCCGTGTCGTCCTCTGGGCTCTGCCCAGCGCTGCCCCGCGTGACTAAGGAGGCCACAGTCCAGCCACCTCTCTGTTCTCCCGCTTGCAGGTACGCTCTGCTGAGGAAGTCCCGGGAGCGGCAGGGGGTGGACGGGCTCAACAACTTGAACTACTTTGCAAACGTTACCTTCGACGCCTTGTACAAGAACATCACGGTCAACCTGACGCCAGAGCTGGCGCAGGTGACAGAGTACTGAGTCGAGCGGGAACTCCAGTGTGCTTTCCTCATCGCCACCGAGAAAGAAAGCAGCCCGTGGAGACGCCGGGGCCACGTGGGAGAGGACGCAGCGCCCAGGCATCACAGGGTGCCGGGAGAGAGCCCACGCTAGGTGCCGGCGCCGGCACCGTCCAGACCTGCTGTGCCGGCGCTCGGAACGTGCCGCATCAGGACTGCTTTCAGCGGCCACCCGACGACGTCTCTCTTGCTGCTCACCGCCCTCCTGTCTCTTTCTTGCCCCTCATTCCCCCTTCAGCCATGGCCTCCAGGACGGGTACACAGGATCTGTGTGGTCCTGCCAGGGAACCCACCCCTACGGGGGTCCCCTGGGCCCCCTTGGCGGTCAGTGCAGAGGGGCAAAGGCATCACAGGGCAGCTGCGTCGTCGTCAGAAGCTCAAGTGAAGCTCCGCACACCATCTTCCTACCCCGTGGGTGTGTTCGTTCTCGTTCCATTCACGACCGACAAAACCAACCAACCCCCTGCTTCGGGAGGGGACTGAGGGGGTGGGGGGGCAGATCAATAGACATCTCTATAACGATCACTTCTCGAAGAAGTATAATTGTAAATAAGCCATGTAAAATGCCTTCTGAAGATTTAATTTTGCAGCTGGCTCCAGTAGCTGGCTCCAGTTCCCACCGAGGGTTTGTACACTAGGCCCTGATTTGGTCGGCAGATGGCGGGGCCTCCTGTCAGGAACAGCCACTCCAAACCGTGTTCCCTTGAGGAGGAGGGGCCGGGGGGACACACGGCCCAGAGGACCGCCGGCCAGTTTCTGTTGCTGGTAGCTGCTTTGCCCCTTCCCTCCCCACCTCTTTCAAAAACTCCAGCCCCTTTTTCACACCTACTCGACCTTGACACTCTTCCCTGGTCCTCTGCTAAGCGGGAGGGGGCTCCCTGCCCTCTGATCCACCCAGTTCCCCCTGCTCCCCTAACTCCAGCTCCTCCCCTTACCCAGCACCAGGTAGGGGGAGGTGTGGGGCTTACCCTGTGTGGAACTTGGCCGTGATTTCTGGCATCCGTGCCTAACTGCCAGCTGACCCCACGTTCCGCCCAGACCCTCAGAGCCTGTGACAAGCCTGGGGACAGTGTGCCCTGCGGGAGGCTCGTGCAGTGGGGGGAGGAGGGGGGCTGAATGAGACCACCTCAGCAAGGGCTTCAGACCAGAAGAGAGCCCTCCACCTCTACCTCCCGCCCCCCCCCCCACTTTTTGAATTTACAGTCTCAATGACTTTTGATTTATACCTCCTTGTTTTTCTCTGAGCCAGATCCATAGGCGCCGGTGGATTCTATGGAATTCTGAGAAATGCCAGTTTTTGGGCGCCCCCCCCCCTTTTTTCCGTAAGTCCTATTTATAGATCATGATTAGGAGTGTTTTTTGAAGAGAGCCCCCCCCCCCCTTAATTGCCTCGTTTGCCTTCAATTTCCTGAATTTTCATGGTTTACATGGGAGGGTGTGTGTATGGGGGTGTAGATGTGTACATACGTGTGGGGTGGAGCTTTTCCATTGCACGTGTTGGTCCCGTGGGCAGATGATCCCCCACACACGCTGTGGGAGTGACCGGCCGGGCCTCGCTTTGTCTGTGCTCTTTGCTTCTGTGGAGGGACAGCGGGTGCTGCCTTGTGGGACGACCCTGCTGGACAAAGAACGCTCCCACCAGCTGCTATGAGAGAGCAGGGTGCCCTTGAGGATGCTGGTCGGGAGTGGCGCGTGTTCAAGGGCGTCGTTGCGCACCGCGCGTGCTGTGGAGGAGCCTCGTAAGCCAGCATGACCACAGAGGTTGGCCAGACTGTCCTTTGTTCGTGGTGCACCTCGTAGCAATAAAGACGTCTCCTCGCCCTCACTCGCCCAAGAGTGACGAACGTGACAGAGGACCGACTGCCAAGGGGCCGCAGGAGCTCTGCCCGGGCGGACGCCTCTCCCTGACTCTCGAGAGGTCAGGGTGCCGGGTGGGTGTTGCGGGGGGGTCCTGGTAACAGACTGCTGGCCAGGGGCTCTCACCCAAGGGGAACAAGAAGGGTGGCTGAGGGACAGCGGGTTCCCTTCTTAGCCGCCCTCATGGCGGGGTGCCCTCCATCTCCCCGGTGCCTTCCAAGCGGGGGTCATTCCTATGGACTCTCCCCATTGGCACTGGCAGCCTTGGGTCCAGAGGGGTGAATATTGTGTTGAAAAGGTAACCAAACAGCCAGCCGGGTGCAGGGGCTGCTTGTAGCGTGAATTCTCATCATTTTTAAAAAAACAATAAAGAAGCCTATTTTGGCAGCTGAAATTCTCCCAGGCGACGGATGGGTGACCCCTCTGCTCACACTTGTCTCTGATGGAGGGCACGCCGAAGGAACCGCTGCAAGCCTGCCTGTCCCCCTTTCTCGCTGTTTTCTTGTGTGTCGTTTGTTTTAACAAACAAGTTCATTCTCTTGCCGTTCAGGAGGCGAGTCGTTCAGGAGGCGAGTCGTTTGATTCTGGGGGGCCTGCCCTTGGGGCGAAGCGTTCTCTGCCAGCTCCAGGGGGAGGGCCTTGCCTCTGAGCTTCTCCGGAGAACACACCTCTTTCTCCATCCCCACGGCCTCTCTCCCTCTCTGTTGTGGTTGTTTTCAGGGGTCCCAGGTAGAACATTGTAAAACCTTCCTTTTGAAATTGTGGGTGTGGCCTGAAGGTCCCCATCGCTGCTCTGTGTGGTCTGATTCGATTTTGATTCTATCTTCAGCTTTGCCCTTATGTTCCAAGGAGGTGCCGGGGGTACGATTTTTGCACTGAAATCTAAAGATGTTTTAAAGAACACTTTTCACAAGAAAATAGTCCTGTGTCATTACATTATTTACTCATGTGTTTGTACATTTTTGTATGTTAATTTATGAATGATTTTTTCAGTAAAAAAAAATACATATTCAAGAACCAAACCTTGGTGGTCGCTTCTCTTGTGTCTTGAATGGCTTCCTTGAGGCCCTGCCTTCTTTGCCAGCAGCAGCCCCTGAGGTCCCTCCAGCAACCTGGCTCCCCCTGGGCTGGGTGGACCTGAGGATGCACCTGAGAGTGCTCCCAAGGGGGATGACAGGCCCCCTGCTGTGGCCCGGCCAGTGGTGAGGATGGGCGTTGAGGTGGCCCGGCTCTGCGGACTCTGGGCTTATCTACAGAGGTGCTGGTGATGTTGGCGCAGACACCTGGGCAGTGGGTGCCAGGCGAGGGAGCATGGTGCCCAGGTGCTAGGGAGAGAGCTATACGCCAAACCAGATGGAGTCAGAGACCCCGTGAAGCTTCCCTGCCCGTGTGTGGCTTGACTGCAACATCGCAGCCGGGCCTATGCCCCGAAGGAGATGCTTGCAGGCATGAGGCTACCTGGCTCGGAAGGGAAGGATCCCTGGGGTGGGGACCAGGGAGCAGGGCTCATGGGGCGCTGCCAGAGCTGAGGTAGCCAGGGGAACCCGGGTATCGCTGGTCTGGGGAGAACCCGGGTATGGCTTGTCTGGGGAGATAGTTAAATTTTCAGGTAGTAGGGGTGTGTGTGTGGCGTGAGGAGATAGCTCTGGGGCAGCCGTGGGGGAGGACCTATGTGTGGACAGCCTGGGGGATGGAGGACACCACCTGAGCCTTCACTAATAGGATGGCAAGTGCAGTCCCCACTGGGCACCCCGGGCTCAGGCCATTGGCGTGTTGAACGTGGAGGGGGGCGGGGATTAGAAACAACCACGCAGACACAGAGGTGGGTGTACAGGTACAGGCAGGAGTCAAAGCAGATGGGTCTGTGGAGCCCTACGTAGGGGAGCCAGCAGACCTGGCTACGTGATGGATACAGGCCCAGCTGCTAATCGAGCCATCACCCCCTCTGAGGCCACCCGGCGATGTGGCCATCGCTCCCGTCCAGCTGTGGTGAGGTGTCATTGGTTTCCTGCTCAGAGTGCCCCTTGCACAGCAGAACCGGACACCGCCTGGTCCCGCGCCAGCCTCACCA